AGAGAATGGAGAAGGGGAGGAAGAGGCGTGGAGGGAGATATGTAGGGGCGCGTTCAAGGGAGAGAAGAGAATGCCGGAGCAATGGAGAGGGGAAAGTGATGGGGCTCGTTCACCCACCCTAAAGACGCTTCCGGTAGTTAAGATGTGAGTACTCCCCCCTTCTTTCTCAGCACCCGTACCTTTCCTGTTCGCGAACCATACTCGTATAATGCGCTCTCTTTGCCCCACTTATCTGTCACACATCTTGATCTCTCAGATCCCCGACTGCAACGCGAATGATCACCGGCCCAATGATCAGCTGCAACTCCAATCTCCTCGGCAACCTCCTCAGGTGTCATGGGACGGTCCTCTCTGAAACGAGCGGCACACCGTGCCATCACATGATTAAAGTGTATGCTAAATCTTTGCGCCACCGTAACCTCCTCTAATACCCCGTCCGAACCCTCCCCCTCCTCATCTTGCATTGAGTCTCCACTCCCCTTCCGACTGCGTGGCCGCTTTTCCACCCATTGACGAGGTTGCTCTGGCGAATCGTTCTCCTCCCGAGCCGCGCCCGCCTGGCTGCCTGCATGTGCACCATGAATGAAGAACACGAAATGATATTATTGTATTCAAAATGCACGTATGGTTTGTTCTATTATTCGGCAAAAAAGCACAGTAAAGAATGTACCCGAGGGGACTGCGTCGCAGGCCGACCTCGTTGCTGATCTCATACCTCGAGTCACGTCGGTGTGGCACGATGCGGACGCATGCAGGAGAAGCAACGATGCGGCCGAGCACGGTCGCACCCCATGATCAGGATGGGGATCATAACCCCACAGCTCCCCGACATCACTGTAATCTAGATTTGGCCCGACATCCTCCTCCACAGACCCAATGGTGTCATCATCGAGAATATCGATAGCAACAAAACCATCATACTTCTTAAGTGCACGCATGCCACCAGCCCTCGCTCCCCCCTTCCCCCCCCCCCCCCCCAAGGCTCTCATCTTGTTGGGACTGCATGACAGGTACAACCACCAACTCACCCGTCAAACCCCCTCCGATCTCTAACCCCTCTATGCTAGTCCTGTCGTGACATGCATTACACACGCTCGCTGCAGTGCATGTCGTACCTAGGTCGCGTTTGCGGCGCACCCACGTGACACGTCGCATCTCAAATATAGATAAGGGGAGTTATCTTTAGACAGGTCAACAAACCGGAACTTCCGCACACGACAGACTGCCTCAATCAAGTCCCGTTTGTTTTTTTTTTTTCCCTTCACTCATTTAAGACTAGGGCATAAATGAACCTTCAGCCAGGCCCGGAGATCCTCTACCTTCACAGACCACAAGTCTTCATACGTTTTCGCCTTTGTGATGTCCAAAACGACCTTACGTGCATCCACAAAAAACCTAACAAACTTGCGTGACAGCGATCGACCTTTGTGCCAGACATCCATCTGGTGCTCAATCCCCTCGTGAATGATTCCAACCTTGAAACTTGAACCTTCATCAGTAATGATACCTTTGATTGGAAACTCCCACTTTTTCAAGTCATTCAGTTCCTGTTTAAAAGCAATTCCCTCAAGCTCCGTCGACGAAACCCCCACCTCAGATTTTGGCAGTGTCACACAATGAATTATCTTACGCGTTTTGGGATCCATGAACGTGATACTGACCCACTCGGCCTCTCGAGGTTGCCCCCACCTCCCGTCGACACAAACCCAGTAATCATCCTCTTTCCTGGCTAGCATACACTCTCGCGCCCTTTCCATGCATCTGCTCGCATGCGTAATAATTTTCTCCCACAATCCTCCCACCCCACTCATGTACCTATAAAAAGTTCGCTTGCATGGGATAGGCACTCTGAGGTTTCTACCAACCTCCGACAACGCCTGATAGCCAAAACCACCTAGGGCGAACGACGCAAGGAACCGCTGTCAGAATAGCAGGCAGAAACGAGAAACAGGAAAGAGGGTTTGCACTAGCAGGCAGTTGAGTACATATAGGAAACCCTAATTTGGGCTATACTCGCTATAGAGTACCCCACTGCAGGCTAGACAATATAACATTCTGACACACCCCCATAGTCAAAGTGGGGTATAATCAGCACAGCAAGCAGTCATAGAGCAGGTTCACAAATACAAGCAAAACTAGAGGCAGTCACAGAGGGCAAGTGAGGAGGAGGAGGGACTGTGAGAGGAGTGGAGATAGGAGGCGACGGGTGAAGCCGCAGACACACGGGCAACAGGAGCGGCGCGCACGGTGGCTACCGGTGGCAAGGGCCCCGGACTACAGGAGTAACTGGCTCCGCGGCTAAGACGAGCGGCAGGAGCAACTGACCCACGGGCGACTGGCGCAGCAGGCTCGCTGGGCTACCAGTGGCAAGGGCCCCGGACTACTGGCGCTGCTGACGTCACAACGGCTACCTTCGCTCAACCTCCCCCAATTGTCCCACACCCCTTTCACACACGCCTTGCTGCACCCCTAGCTCCACTCCCACGACACCCCCCTAGCGCCACTCCCTCGGCTCCCACACACCCACCCCCCTCAGCGGCAGCTGCAGCAGTGGGAGACGGAGGAGGAGGAGGAGCAGGGCAGGCCTCACACACTCGTCACCCCCATACTCGCCACCCCCACACTCGCCACCCGCGGGGAGGAAGAAGCCTCGCGGCCCACGAGGGGACGGGGCGGCGCAACGGGAGCACAGGGGGCACGCACGGGTCCCCTGGGCGACACGACAGGATCGTGGGGGGGGCGCGCGCGGGTCCCCAGGGGCGACGCGACAGTCGATGGGGGGGACGCGCGGGTCCCCGGGGGCGGCACGACGGTCGACAGGGAGGGACGCGCGGGTCCCCGGGGGCGGCGCGACGGTCGACGGGGGGAACGTGTGTGAGGCAGTAAACCGCCGCGCGCCTCGGGGCGCACGGCGGGCAGAAAACCGCCGTACGCCCCGAGCGCACGGCGGGCAGAAAACCGCCATGCGCCCCGAGCGCGTGGCGGGAAGAAAAAACGTCGCGCGCCACGGGGCGCGCGACAGACAGGACAGCAGCGGAAGCAGGTGGGCCCACAGGCCAGGAGCGTAACCGCTCTGATAGCATGTCAGAATAGCAGGCAGAAACGAGAAATAGGAAAAAGGGTTTGCACTAGCAGGCAGTTGAGTACATATAGGAAACCCTAATTTGGGCTATACTCGCTATAGAGTACCCCACTGCAAGCTAGACAAATATCACATTCTGACAACCGCTGCATCATCGGTAGGCGCTTCCGTCCAGGCCGGCCAGCATCGTTTGGTGGTGGTTGGCGGTCTACCGACCACAGCGACATAGATTTACCGCACTTATCACACCTCCAAACCATGCCGAGAGCAGCCCACATCATGTTCCAAGACCGCAACCTCATCGAACCTCCACATCCACCCCCCAGCGTACAGTGCAGCGTCACCACCATGAAAAATCGAATGATGTGGACGGGGTTCAATAGACAGACGACGTCGCGCAACCCTGAAAGGGATGGTTGTGCTGGCCACCGTCCGGGTGAGGTCTCATGGTGAATCTTGTACTCAGGCGCGTCCCTAACAGGTTGGAACGTGGGGAGATTACATAAAAAATGTCCGATTTCGACAACGTTGAGAATGATTAGTACCCCAAACGACAAATCATATCATGAAACCACTGCGCTATATTCAGTTGGCAATATAAAGGTCGTAACTATAAGTGTCACACCAACACGTACCCTGCATGAGCTTGATCCTTGTCATTCTCTTGTGTAGTCGTAGGCGCGCATGCAGGAGGCGCGGCATGCCCATCTACATCCTCGTGCTCGACGGCCATGGGGACATCACCAACAGCCACGAGTGCAACCGGATCAATGTCAATGACCACATGACGACTCTCCTCAGGCTCCTCGCTCCCGTCCTCATCAACTAGCGTGGTTGTCGTGGCCGTCTCTCCAGCTGCAGTTTTAGAGAATATAGAAGCATTCTCACCAAGAAGATATGATCGGTGCTATTGGAAGCTATCACCGTATGAAGGGTCTAGAGACGTTTGATCCACAAACTTGCATTGCATACCTTTCTGCAGCAACTCTGAATACGCAGACCCGCAACGTATACCCCCATGGCCAAACCGGGAAGTGCTGCTTCGTGCCATGCTGTTGGTCACGTTTGATGAGAACGCGTAGACCAACCCTCCAATGGCACTCACACGTCCAGTCACCAAGGCCTCCGGTCAGCCAATCGCCCGATCCTTTCCTCATTGAAATTTTCCGGCAAACTTTTCCAAACATTCTTGCACTGCCAGTTCTGCCTCCTCACCGTCAGCACCTGAACGCATGGGATTAACACCAGAGTTGGCATCAATGCATGTTCAGACTGTCCCTGCCCAAAACATGTACCTGATCCGTCATTATGTTTCCGCGTTACTCACTAACTTTCCGGTTCAAATTCCCGACTATGTATTGAGTCACTCACCAGCGTTCCTCGCGGCCATCATAAGCACATCCTTTGCTCCGGGACCAGCATGTAGGAGGAAGTATACTAAATCACCCAAGGTCGCCGTCCGACCTTCTCCCATCAAGGCGCTCAATCCACAACGTAAGTAGCATATCGGAAGACGCATGTGTTTAGTTATCGCAAGACTCATGTTGTCCTTAGTGTTCACAATCTCGTTCACCTTGGCCTTCCGCGCAGTGGCTGTTGTTTTTTTCGGGCGACCCATTCCACACACCTGCACGGAAACTACTAGCCATGCAAACGAGGAAGTGAGACCAAGCAAGTTAGATACTACTAGCAAGGCAGAGGGGGATGGGAGGCCAAGCAGGTTGGAAACTACTAGCCATGCAATGGGGGAAGTGAGGCCAAGCGGGTTGCACATTGCTGTGCATGCACAAGGGAAACTGCTGGCGAGGCAGAGGGGGAATGTAGGACAGAGAGGGAAGCGCAGCGGGGGAGAGGCAGGACAGGGTGGGTACGACAAAAACGCGAGAAGGGCAGGGAGGGAAGGGAGTAATAAGGTTGACTAACCTTGTGTAAAAATTGCTCCTTTTGTGGGTGTAAGTGCCTTAGGCTGCGGTGAGGTGGTGGAAGGGAGGGGAGATGATAAAAAGGGGTCGATAGAGGGCGGATATGCGTAGAAGCATTTGGGGTAAGGAGGGGACTCAGAGGGGGAAATAAGGGGAAGGAGAGGGGAGAACGAGGGGAAGTAGAGGGGGACAAAAGGGGAAGGAGAGGGGGGAACGAGGGGAACCAGAGGGGGAAATAAGGGGAAGGAGAGGGGGGAACGTGGGGAAGCAGAGGGGGAAATAAGGGGAAGGAGGAGGGGGAAGAGAAGAGGGAAGCAGAGGGAGACATAAGGGGAAGGAGAGTTGGGAACGAGTGGAAGCAGAGGGGGAAATAAGGGGAAAGAGAGGGGGGAACAAGGAGGAGCAGAGGGGTAAATAAGGGGAAGGAGAGGGGGGAACGCGGGGGAGCAGAGGGGGTAATAAGGGTTTGGAGTGTGGAAACGAGGGGAAGCAGAGGGGGCAATAAGGGGAAGGAGAAGGGGGAACGAGGGGAAGCAGAGGGGACAATAAGGGGAAGGAGAAGGGGGAACGAGGGGATGCAGAGAGGGAAATGTCACAGAATGTATTGGGATAGACAATACTTCCAGTTTCTCGCTTGTGAGGTGTGGACGCGTCATAAGAAGTACTGTAGAATAGGGGTTGGGATCGTGGATATTGTCGCGAAGTCGTGGACCCAGGGACTAGCGAGGGCGCTCAGGGACATTTGATTTGAGGGCAATCAGGAGGACCAATCCGAAAGTCCTGCAACATGTGCCCAATGTTACTTACGGGGAACTACACGGCGCCAGTTAGAACCTCACATTGTCTAGGAACTCACTGCTTAGTTCGTTCTCTCGTTAGTTTGCTTCTTTTAGTGGATAAGGGTTACCGCACAAGGCTACTCTAGCTAGGTGACCACGCCACTGTGGGCTACTCTAGCTAGGTGACTACGCCACTGTGGGCTACTCTAGCTAGGTGACTACGCCACTGCGGGCTACTTGGGGTGAAGGTTGGAAGGGTCAGAGAAGGGAAGGGAAACAATATCGCATGAGTGCCGTAGTGATGGACCGGGCGATACGAATGAGAGGAAGCAATGGGAAAAAGCTTATGGCTGACTCGCCTTGTGCACCTCGGTGAGCACCGGGGGAAGTGATAGGGCGAAGTGGGGAAAAGGCTAAATGGCGTGCGAGGCTCGCGGTTTGCAGCGCGTGTGATGAGTTTAGGGACATGCGAGCAGCTAGAGACGCGTTCAGCTAGTGACACGAGAAGCCGGCAGAACTGGGGGGGAGAAGTGGGGGAGAGCCGGCGGTAATGAGGGAGAGCAGTAAAGGAAATGAGAGGGAGAAGAGGGAGAAGTGAGGGGGAGCAGTGGGGGAAATTGAGCAAGGGAGGAGATGAGAGGAAGAAGGGGGGCCAATGGGGGGGAGAAGGGGTGGGGATGAAATGGATAAAGGGGGGAAATGAGAGGGAGTAGTAGGGGGAAGTGTGGAGGAGCAGTGGGAAAAGTATCGAGGGAGCAGGGGGGGGGGATGAGAGGAGGAAAGGGGGAAAATGAGAGGGAGAGAACGGGGGAAATGAGGAGTAGTGGGGGAAATGTGAGGGAGAAGGGGGGGAAATGAGGAGGAGTAGTGGGGGAAATGAGAGGGAGATGGGGGGGATATGAGGAGGAGTAGGGGGGAAATGTGAGGGAGAAGTGGGGGAAATGAGGGAAGAGAGAGGGGAAATGAGGGGTCCGGGAATGGGGATGGACGACGGGCTCCCCGCATTCATGGCGACACGCCCATTCAACGGTGGCAATTTGGCCTGCTCGACGAATGGGAGAGTTCGCTGCCGACGAAAGAGACGCTCCATGACGAATGAGACGAATGAGTGACGGATAAGAGACGAATGAGACGAATGAGAGATGAATGAGACGAATAAGAGACGAATGAGACGAATGAGAGACGAATGAGACGAATGAGTGACGAATAAGAGACGAATGAGACGAATGAGAGACGAATGAGATGAATGAGACGAATGAGAGACGAATGCGACGAACAAGAGACGAATGCGACGAATGAGAGACGAATGAGACGAATGAGAGACGAATGAGACGAATGAGAGACGAATGCGACGAATGAGAGACGAATGAGGCGACCGCCTCGCGGAGCGCAGCATTTGAGGCGTAGACATTCGCCCAGAGACGCGAGCAGCAGGTGGGGCCAGCAGAGGGTGAGCGTGAAGCCAATGTCATGCTAAGCGATTTGTCCTATGGGTTACACGAGAAGCACTCGAATGCGCTAAAACTTGAGAGGAATTGCAGTGGGTGAGGCGCTAAGCGGTGCGTCGGTAAGCAGTGGGGCGCTAAGCGATGAGGCGCTATGCGGTGAGGCGCTCGCTTCGCGGTGAGGCGCTACGCGGTGGGGCGCCGAATGGTGAGGCGCGCAGCGGGGTATTAGGCGTGACGCGGGTCACGCGCTAAGAGGGTGTCGCGAGCTGGGGGTTCGGCGAGAATATCGCCGGCGAGGGCAACGCATCGAGTGCGGCGCGCGTTACTGAAGGCTAGTAAAACATCTATCGAGATGCCTTTGCACTAGTCTATTCAATAATCCCCCAGCCAGCCATGTGACACGTGTCCTCTTACCACCAGCGTTTTTTCAGTGGTGGCGCTTCTCCTCGCACCGAGTAGTCGCCATTGGTATAGTTGTATCCTGGCCTTTCCTAGAAATTTAGTCGCTTATCCTTCAGTGCATGGGTGGCCTTTCCTTGAGCTTTAGTCGCTTATCCTTCAGCGTGTGAGTGTCAAGCAGGGGTTGGGTGACGGGTGTGTTTCTCGTATTCGCAACCACCAGGCCTCCAAATTTTCGCCCATCCTCTCGCCAATCTTATTCGTTTTCGTTGGGGCTTGCTCTGGGTGGGTACTGCTCCACACCAACAGTACTTTCAAATGTATACTGCTGCTTCAAATGCGACATCTCATGTCCACTGTAATGAATATACAATTAACGTCCATGCACTCGTCAAATTTGACTGTACCCCAAGCGGTACTCAGAACTGTCTCTGTCCATATATTTCGGAGTGCTGACATGGTTCAAGAAAGAGCCGTGATACAGTATCTGTTAAAGAGTTACCAAATAATGCCTGAGATTGGCGCGACGAGGAATCGCCACTTTTTACTTGTTGCGACTTGTCGAATAAGTTGCGACTGACCTTTTGCGAAAACCTTGCGTTACTGTTAAACGCTCATGACGCAATACTGACTGTTGGATGAAGTCACTGTGTACCTTCGGATGTGTTCTGCGCGTCTCGGGGAACGTTTTTGAATTGCGTCGTCAGATGAACTGCTTCCAGTCAACTGCTTTGTAAAACGTAAAAAGTTCTGTTACACGCCTAAATCTGGTAACTGTGCTGAAAATAAAAAACGGATATGAACAAAGTTGGACCCGCCCTTAGTGTAGATGCTGCTCCTAGCGAGGACAGCCCCGAGCACTTCGCGTCAGTGTGGCTCGGCCTACACTTTCGTACCGAACCAATTCTGAGTCGCCCATCACCAATCGCGACATTTCCGAGCCACGCACATCACGAGGTTCTCGCTTAGCACGTATTCGCCCTATATTTGCTCGCTTTCTCCATTCTTTTGTCATTCTGTAACCACGTTCTATTTATAGAAGTGTTCTGCGCACTCTGTTGAGTACAACTCAACACTTGGTATCATAGCTACTTTCCTAGCTTCCTCTCTTTTTAGAGTGTAATACCCTTCGGGGGGGGGACAGGGAAGGATGTCGTGGTGACAGGAGCAGCGCAATAGCCGGCCAGGAGAACGGATAGTTGCTCCTAGCGGCCATGAATTTTACAGGCGCTCCTGCGGCACCGACGGATCCTTGCACTCAACTGTCAAGATCGACCGTGACCTCCCTCCCCCCGGGTGGCGGAGAGCTTGTGCTGTCATCGCATTTAATGCGTGAGTTAACTGCTTGTATTTTCGTCTGTCTCGGAGCTAATACTGTGTGGAAGTTGACATCAACAGGATCGTCGTCACTGCACGTCAGAGATTCACGAAGACGATCATCGTGCGAGCTGCGTCGGCACGTGGTTGACAACTACGCGCGACAATTTCGGGTTTAGCTGCGTGCGGCAAGTGGCGTTGGATGTCTTCGTCACGTTGCGCACGAGCTGGTGGACGCCTTCGGCAAGTGACAAGCGGCGTCACTGTGCGCGAAGATTTTAGAGTAGCAGCACATGGAAACGACTGTTGGTCGAGCAGCCAGGCGCATGGTGATTTGCGTCAGAAAAACCGACAGCGAAAAGAGGCGGCGTGATGACTGCTCGAAGAAAGCGGGGGTCTACCGTCGTCCCGCCCGGGTGCAGCTGGCGTTGCTGCAGGAGGCGTCGTGGGCGTTTTTCGACAGGAGCCGCACAGTGTGGGACGGAAGTTATTTTCAGACCACCAAAAAGTTCGGAAAAGGCCGCCTACGACTAGACTGTTCGCGTTAGGGTCACTTCTGCGCCTGCATCATGATCTGCGAAAATTTTGGAGCAACAGCAGTAGGCGACACTGTACTTCAGGCGACACAAGTTCCCCCTGATCAAGGGAAGTTGTGCCGCAGACGGGGCAGTACACCGACGGGACAATGGTTTCGCGCAACGTATAGACCCACAATTTTCAGGGGTTCCGCCGGCTACAATATATGGAGTTAAGGGAAAAGCGGGTCTGGCGAGAGAAACGGGTTCCGGGTTGCTGAGGCTGGGTTTCGCAGCTAAGCGGCGGTAGCAGATCGAGCTCCCTACTGGCCAAAGTCTTACAACGTTTCACATACCTCAAACCAGGTGCCTCGAAGGCGTTATAAGACCTGTTGGCCCTGTACAAATAAGGTGGGGCCCTGTGTTTTCGCGCCTCGAAGTGGCGCGTGGAATGTAGCGACACTGATTCAGCTCCGACAACAACGGACCATCGGCGATAGTTGCCCTGCCGAAAAGGTCGGGGTTGAAGAAATCGTGACAGCTAGCGGGGTTTCTCCTGATTCAAAATATCTTACCCGATGATGATATAGCGGCGAAGACGGAGTTCCCGAAGCTATGAAGTTTTAAACGCGATAGGCACGGTGGGTAGCGAAGCGGCCGGCTGAGAGTTTGATATGATAAACTCGCTCCGACTACGATTGCGTTCGTGCCTTCATCGAACGCCGGAAAAATCGCGGGCAAACATGGAGTATACCTCATCCGACAATAGTGGACGCTGGGTGAACGGCGGGAAGCGCAATCGTCGGGGGGGAGGGAAAGTTGTGGGTGCCTATTTAAGCTACTTGAGTGATAGGTTGAGCCCGTACACCACTCCACCATGAATTTCGGGTCTACTCGGTGGGCAAGAAAGGGTCGGAAATCTCACACATGATGGCACGGCGAGGGGTGTAATGCCAAGGATACCTGGGATTTGCTAAGTAACTTCGACGGGTACGAAGATGGGTGAACGTCGGAGTACCAGGGTCAACGGTGGAAACGTCGGGGCTACAAGGCAGAAAATACTTCGGGGCTTGTTGCCGCAACCATGATTTTCGCGCGACATTTTGACGGTGGGAGACGTGTGAACGTCTGCTCGCCAATTGTTTAACCGATTTACGGTGTACTCCAGGAGTTTACCTGGGGGAGTTCTACGACGAGATCTGTCAAACTCATACACTATAGTCTGTGTAGGCTGTAGTGGGGTAGCTTATATGGGGTACAACATTCTAGGGTTTGGTACTTGTACTCCTCTGCGTGCCCCTTTGCCTTCTCCTCCCGCGTCCTCTCTTCCTGACCTTCCTGACCCTGAGTCGGACTCCCTTCGTGCTGCGCGTCCTACTGTCACGCGTCTCCTTGCTACTGTCGTCACTGACCCTTCCTTTGAGTCTACTGCTGCGTCTGCTCTGGTTGCTGAGCTTGTCGACTTTGCTGCTCGCTGTCGCCTAGACTACGCTGCCAGTCTCGTCGCTGAGTCTGCGTCTGTCTGTCCTCCGTCCGTCGGGGGTGAGTGTGCTCTTGGCACGGACGTCCTTGAGGACAGGCAGGAGGAGTTCCAGTGCTTGGCTGCTGCTTCACCTCATCTCGTGTCCATGCTGCTTGCCCCTGAGGGAGACCCGGATGCACTTGACATCCCGACTCCGCGCTCTTACGCGGAGGCGATAGAGGGTCCCTACTCCTCTCAGTGGCAGGCAGCCATGGACGCAGAGATGGCTTCCTGGAAGTCCACAGGCACCTACGTTGACGAGGTTCCCCCGCCTGGGGCGAACATCGTCAGTGGCATGTGGATTTTCAGGGTGAAGCGGCCGCCGGGTTCTCCGCCTGTCTTCAAGGCGCGTTACGTGGCTCGTGGCTTCAGTCAGCGGCAGGGAGTTGACTACTTTCAGACCTTCTCTCCCACCCCGAAGATGACTACTCTTCGGGTACTGCTGCACATAGCCGCTCACCGAGACTACGAGCTGCACTCTCTTGACTTCAGCACTGCTTTCTTGCAGGGCAGCCTGCACGAGGAGATCTGGCTGCGCCGCCCACCTGGCTTCACTGGGACTTTTCCTCCTGGCACCCAGTGGAGCCTCCGGCGGCCAGTCTACGGTCTCCGCCAGGCGCCTCGTGAGTGGCACGACACACTGAGGACTACACTTGCGGCTCTTGGGTTTGCTCCTTCTACTGCCGACCCGTCGCTGTTTCTGCGCACCGACTCTTCCTTGCCGCCGTTCTACATCCTCGTGTACGTCGACGACTTGGTCTTTGCTACAGCTGACACTGCTGGACTTGCCTACGTGAAGTCCGAGCTGCAGAAGAGACACACGTGCACAGACCTGGGTGAACTGCGCAGCTACCTTGGCTTGCATATCACCCGGGACAGAGCACAGCGCACCATTACCCTGACTCAGTCACACATGGTGCAGCAGGTCCTTCAGCGCTTCGGCTTCACGTACTCCTCGCCTCAGGCCACTCCTCTGCCTACTCGCCACTCGCTCTCAGCTCTGCCTTCGGATGAGTCCGTAGAGTCGAGTGGCCCGTACCCAGAGCTTGTTGGCTGCCTCATGTACCTGATGACCTGCACTCGACCTGACCTTGCATACCCTCTTAGCATTCTGGCACGCTATGTTGCTCCTGGGAGACACAGACCAGAGCACATGGCTGCAGCGAAGAGGGTGTTGCGCTACTTGTGCAGTACG